CCTAAAAGACTATCTTATGGAAAACATACACAAGGCAAACATGCTCACATGAAGGTCAGAAAAAGCAATACAAGGACACTCTCAACATCTCTCTGAAGAACTTTGGAATCAATTGGGTGACATGGGAGACACTGGCACAGAGCTACCCAGAATGGAATGTCTGAATCAAAGGAGGTACTGCACTCTATGAACAAAGCAGAATTACAGTAGCTGAAAAGAAACATGAAACACACACATTTAGAGACATTCCCACTCCAAATGTTCATGCGGTCTATTCGTGCCAAACCTGTGGTAGAGCCTTCCAAGCTCATATTGCTCTGATCCACCATAATTGGATACATTGTACCTTGACCCCAACATAGTGATGCCATTTTGGTCCTTTTTGAGAATAAAGGATAACAACCAATCAACCATAATAGCACTTTGTTATTTCGTATAGATAGATAGATGTATATATATACATGCTGCTATATATATAAAACGTGTGTAAATACACTTTACGTACCTTAAAGTACTATATAAATGCTAGTTATTATCATTATTATGAGAAGCAGCATGCTATCATGGAAAAAATAGCACTAGACAGAGATAAGAAAAATCTTGAGTCCTAGTCAGGAAGCATTTATTAAGTTCTAACTATGATCCAGGTGCTCACTTTGCCACCATCTTACAGTCTAACTTTGGGAGAGTCATATCCCCTTATGGGCTTCAGTTACCTTTTCTGTAAAATGAGGGGATTAATCAAAAGAGATAATATGTGCAATCCTTGTCAGATCTAGTAGTCTCTGCTTCCTTGATTCTAATTTCACATCACAGAACCCTAATTGCCTGTGTTTTGAACTGCTTCCCCTTCCATAAGGATGTCAATCATAATGGAGCTGTTGACCATTGATTCCAGCCTTTTCTTGTGTCCTCACATGGACTTCACAGCTTGTGTAGGTATTATTTCTGGTCTATTTATCATGTGAAGTAGAGGAGCTTTGACTGGTTGCTGAGCTGGAACTGAGAATACTTATACTAACTGGCTCAGATAATCCTTTTTTTCCTCCTTGGCTGCAATAGAATGGGCTGGATTTCTATAAGCCTCTGTGCAGAGAGAAGTATTTTCCCTCCTCAGGTGGGCTGATGTGACCGTTTGTTCTTTGCCTCTTTGCATTTTTTCTTTCTTCCTTTTAGAAGAAGGAATACTAGACTAAACTATGACCTTGAGAGCTTTTAAAGGTCAAGAGAGCAAACTGTCAAAGGTCCTGGAACCAGAATCCATGCCAGATTTTGCAGACAGCCTATCGCAGGGAGGAATAAAGACCCCAGTGACTAGGGGTCTTAGTCTATAGACTAATATAGAAATATATTGAAGGCGGTCAAGTGGGAGCAACAGAAACTCAGCACCAGCCAAGTTGATGGGATCAGTGTTTTGTAGAAACTGATTAAAGTTTGAACCCACTCTCCCAGGTGACTAAGAGGGTACATAGAGAGTGTGCCTCTAGGTATTATAGAGAAATGTTTGTACTTCTGTTTTTGTCTTGTCTTCTCAGTAATTATCCCATAGTAAAAGCTATTTGATGCTAAATGATAATGGGAGCACCAAGCACTAATACTAATGAGCTGGTGGATGATATTGGGAAGGACATACAAAAATGGAGGTTTAAGCTGATAATAAAAGAAATACACTTCCAACCCCTTTAGGGGTCCTTCTAGAATCCTGATGGAGAAATGTAGCTTTGTTCAGGGGCCCAGTTCATCTGTGAAAGTGGGAGTTGAGAAAAACAAAAGAAAGATACCTCCAACCCATTCAGGGGTGCTTTTAGAGTCCAGGGTCGGTTCATCTGTGAAAGTAAGAGTTGAGATAAAGATCATCAGTTTCTAAATGGGCTACACAACCAAGTCTTATTTATTTTCATATCTCACCTAGTACCAGCCAATCAACAGCATTTATTGAGCATCTACTAAGCCTATTAAGTACCTGGTGCTGTGCTTGTTATGCGGAATAGAAATGCAAAAGTTAAAACAGTCCCTGCCCTCAGGGAACTTGTGGTCTGGTAGAGAAAATTGTACAGTGTGTACGTATAAAGATATATATATATATATATATATATCATGTATCTAAAATGTCACTGGTTCCTGCACATTCATAATAATTGATGTTTGAATGGATGGATGAGTGGATAAACAGATAGATGGCTCTTGTCATGTTCTCTCTGCGATCTTAACAAGTCCTTTAATATCTCTAGGCCTGAGTTTCCTCATCTGTAAAATGAGATTAGACTTCATGATTTCTATGGTTTCTTCCAAATCTAATTCTATAATCCTATGATTTCATACTATGGCTTGATACCTGAATTCCCTGAGTTCTGCCTACTCTAACTTCTCATAATTATTATATGCTTCTCTACATCTGCCTGACTTTCCATCTTCTGGCACTCGATTGGCAACCCTGGCCTTATCTCATCATAGCTCAGTAGAGGTTACTTTCATAATGGCTGGCCATTAAACAAATTCTCCAGGGAAAATGGACCACAATTACCTGTCAATCAATTTCTGTCCATGTCCCCATATTTGTTCTCCATCCCCTTTATCTCTCTCCATCCCCAAAGCACAAAGTATATATGTTACCCTATGGGTGACTTGGTAAATAGCCGGTTGCTGCCTAGGGTAGTTGGAACTGGAAGCCAGGGCTTTTCTTAATCTTTGCTGAATTTTCATGCTTGTAGTTATTTAAGCATTCATACAAATACCAACCGCTGTGACTTTGACATATAAGCTGCAGTCAATGCTTAAGACTAGCCACTTACTTAGGCTGTGAATTAGCATGAAAAAGACTTTCCCAAAGAAAGAGCCCCAAATACAGGCTCTATGCAATTTGGCCATTTCCTGCTCTGTTAAGGTAAAGCATATTTGGGATACTTTACCTATAGGTTTCCATGCTAATTAATTCCGTTGGCCCTGAAGCAGAGAACGGTTTCCATAACCACAGAGCATTAAAGTCTGCCTTTTCCCCAGTCAAGGATCCTTTTCTCTGTGCACATCTCTTTATTTTGTTAATGTATTACTGCTGGCAAGGAGAATGAAATATTTAAGCCCATTAACTTGTAAAGATGAATTTTTAGAATCACATCCATCGAAGCAGAAAAACACTAGATTGCATCCAGTCTTCTGCACGTACCTTTAAGAAATTTGTAAGAGTGGGGGTTGATAGTTGGCAAAGCAGTGGCCCAGAAGAAAGCGATTCTTAACATGGAGTCCATGAATTTTTTTAAAAAAATGTATTTTTATTACTATATTTCAACATAATTGGCCTCCTTTGTGATCCTATGTATGTTATTTTAAAACATTATTCTCAGAAGGGATTCATCCATAGGCTTCACTAGATGGACAAAGGGGTCCATGGCAGAAAAAATCTTAAGAACACCTGCTTTAAAGGATCATCTAATCTAATATCCTTATTTTACAGATGGAGAAACTGAGGCATAGGGAAAATAAATAATTCTGCTGGTGGTTCTGCCTGTCTCACGTCTCTCCCCACTTTAAATCCATCCATCATTCAGTCACTAAAGTGATTTTCCTAAAACACAGATCTGATCATGCCACACTCCCACACTCTCCCTCCTACCTGTCCCCCTCCCCCACCCAATAAATTTCAATGGCTCCCTGGATCCCAGGATGAAATACAAAATGCTCTGTTGGCTATTCAATAACCTTCATAACCTAGCCCCTCCCTGCTTTTCCAGTCTTTGTACACTTTATTTTCTGCCGTGTCCTCTTTGATCCAATGGCCTCTTGGATGTTCTTAAGCTCTGGGCATTCTCTCCTTCTTCCACTCCACCTATTGACTTACCTGGCTTCCTTTAAGCACCAACTAGAATCCTTTTTTTTTTTCTTCCTGAAAGCCTTCCCCAACCCCTCTTAATTCTAGTACTTTCCTTCTAGTAATTATTTCCTATTAATCCTCTGTATAGCTTACTTTGTGTGTATTTGTTATATGTTGTCTCCCCATCAGACTGTGAGCTAGTTGAGGGCAGAGACTGTCCTTTGCTTCTTTGTATCCCAGTACTAAGCTTAGTGCCTAGCACATAGCAGATGCTTAATAAATATTTATTGATTGATTAAACTGGTCTTAAGTTATATAGGTAACATGTGGCTAAACATGGGCTTGAAGGCAAGGAGTGGGATTTCTGCCCATCACATCCTGAAGTGGCTGACTGCAGCCATGTCAGGCTCTTTGTAGACTTAGCTTATCTAGCAACAGAAGCCAACATAGCTTTCCTGCCTGTGTATTTCTCAGCTGCTCTCACTGTACCACAAGCGTTCTGACCCATCTCCTTCACTCAAGCATTCTCACATCCAGATTCCTTCTCATTGCTTGAGGGGCTGTTCCCATAGCATCTGCCTCCTAGTCCCACTGACTGAAGCTCTTTGCCTCCTTAGGAATTCCTGAAGGGGTCACCATGCTGTCCCCAGACCCAACAGACTTGGTTTATCACTGCATTCCTGGCAATATACCAAGATATTCATTTACTTGTCTTGTTTCAGACAACCTACAGTTACCTTTGAAAAGGCACATGACATTTGACAAACCTGCACTTTCAGGATGGTTTTTTACTTTTTCTTTCTTCCTTTCTTTTCTTTTCTTTCTTTCTTTCTTTTTTTTTTTTGGTATTCTCCCTGCATTTTCACCTTCCCATAATTTCCTACCATTATTCCTGCTTACAGTGATTTCTGTTGCATTAAGTTATCATTCTTTCTTTGGTGAATCTGTACATTATGCACTCAATTCTTCAGCCCTTCCCAGATATACTTCAAAGTAACGTGAAAGGTAACCTTAATTGGGGATACAGTTTAGTTCCTAGAGTGCTGAGCGGCTTGTCCGCGGACATAAGTGCTCATCCTCATTACACATAAAACTCTCTGTGTGGCCTGAGACAAGTCATTTTGCTTTCCCCCCTCACTTTGTTTTACTGTAAAGTACAGGCATACATACTTGCCTTTCATTGCTTTCACAGAGCTATGGGGATGAATAAGATCACAGAACCACAAATGCAAGAGAATGAAAGCATTGGAGAGATCATCTATTGAACATCTTTCATTTTATGGATAAGGAAATGAAGATCCAGAGAGAGAAAATCACGTGCCTAAGCATACCCAGCTATGTAGCATTGGACCGGTAGGTAAAATCCAGGTCTTCTGATTCCTGAACAATACTCTTCCTGCCACAAAACCTGTCTCTGATGTTTGTCCTCCATTTCCCATCTCTGTCTTTGACATTGTCTATCCCCCATGCCTGTAAGATATGCCACTTCCCTTCTGTCTCTCAGAACCTTTTCTTGACTCAGCTCAAGCATTACCAAAAAGCCTTTCCATAACCATTTGTTGGTGACCTTCTCTCCCTCCTCTCCTCCCACCCCATCACTTGCTTCTATCTTGTATTTATTCTTTTTTTATTGATTTTGATATATTTTATGTATTTATTCATGTTTGTATCTATCTGTGTTGATCTTGTTTTTCTCATAATGTTATAAAGTTCTTGAGGACAGGGACTGTTTTTGTCTTACTCTTTATCCCCAGTGCCTAACACAGTGCCTGGCACATTGTTGTCAATGTTTAATAAATGGTTATTGATTCACTAACTGATTTTCAAAGGCATAGAAGCCCTTCGCATCAAGGAAAACAGTTGAAATAGCAGTGACTCACGTAGGCTGTGTGACATAGTCTAAGGAGCACTGGGATTAGCAGTCCAGACCTAGGTTCTGTCTTGTTTTTGCTACTAACTCCAGGGCATTGGCTAAGTCACTGTATATATTTGTGTCTCAGTTTCTTCATTTCTGAAGTAAGGAAGTATTTTACATCTGAATGGGATATTCCAGGTGAAAGATTCTCTGATTTTTAGAAGACTCTGGCTGTGTACTCATACTACCCACCCTAGGGAGTTGTTCTGAGATGGAGCTGTAACTAAAGTGAAATGAGTAAAACTTTGTCTGAGTGCTGCTAGAATTTGTAGAAATTTACATTGACAGAAATTTTAGTCTCCAACAGCATAAAAAGAACTGAGCTTAGTACCTACTTAACAGAAATAATTAACTAAAAAGGAGAAACTATCATATGGGGGCTTCCTACACCCCAGATGACCCCCTCCCTAGCCCAACCCTATGCCAACCCCTTTCCAGAAGCAGACTTGTGAAGTCTTGGGGACATCCTGTTTGTCCTCAATTGAATTGAAGGTACATTTCATGTTGCTTGCCCCAGGCAATTGTTAGATACAGTTCTGTTTTCTGGAAAGCACTGTTATAAAGCTTATGGTGCTATTTAATTATTTTTTATTATATATTATATTAATATATTATATATTATTATATAATTATATTATTATACCCATTATAATCGTGTCTATTGTCTTAGAAAGATAGCAAGAAGTCCCTCAACAGCCAAATGGCTAGCCAAAATACATCTAGGATATATTACAAAGACCAGGAATACCTCATCATATTCATTAGGTGCTTTTTTTCCTAAGAAAATTATCATGTTATTTCCCTATGGGTTTTATCGAAATCTGACTTCTGCACAGCCATGTTCTTTGGGACTGTTGCCCTATGGGGAGTGCATGGAAATCCAGGCAGCCTACAGGGCTAACTCATACCACATTCTGGAGGACTAACTATTAGCTGGAATTTAGGCTACCAATCTCCTCTATTCAGTTAGGCTTTTGAGTACAATTTTAGCTCCTTGAAGGTAGGGATTATTTCTTTTTTATCTTTGTATTTCCAGTGCCTAGAAGAGTGCCTGGCATCTATTAGATGTTTAATCAAAGTTTATTTAATTGAATGAAATCTAATTGAATTTATGCTAAGTAGCTAGAGCTACGTGGGACTATTCAAATAGGTACTTCACAATATTTTGTTTGATTTTTGTGATCATAAAGATTACTCAGACTCTAAAGTTTGTGAATCCTTTCCTTACCTACCCTCACACTTGGTGCGTCAGATTTTACATTTTAGAACTTGATGAATGTTATAATCCTGGGTATTTCACAGCAGACAAATATAAGATATCAGACCTAACATGATATTTGTTGATATGCCCAGTTGGGCATAGGACAAGGCCATTGCCATGCAGGTAAAGGCCATTCATTAGTTACCTCTAGTATTATACAGACTGGAACCACTGCAGGGTCTTCAACTCATTTATTTCCTAGGAAGTAATATAATTGTTTCCTCAGTGTTCAAAGGGAAAAGAGAAACGAAGGGAAAGTTAGTCATTTCCCAGAGGAAACAATCTCAGATGAAGTGACTTCCTCAAATTTATGTGAGTTAATAACTAAGTCAGGATTAGAACTCAGTACTCCTGACTCCTGTTATAGCTCCTCTTTCACACCACCTCTGATGTGCAGATAGTAGTTTAAATAGCATACACAAATCTGGAGTCCTTCCATCCCACTGCTAATACACTTTGGACTCATCAAGGTAGATTGGAACTATGTGTCCCTATCTACTCCCAGGCACTTACAAGCAAACACCAAATAAGGCAAGTTTAATTACTAGGTTTTTTTTGACATATACTCCCATTTAAAACATTGATTTGTTCTAAAGATATTTGTTTCTGATGGTTCACACCAGCAACAGATGTTCTCAAGATCAGAAAACAGAAGAATATGTAACTATTTATGACACGCTGTGATTTTAGTTCTTAGAATTTGGGGTTGGATGAAATAAATGTGCAGAATATAAAAAAAAATAAATGTGTAGGAGAGCTTTAGAATTTAATCTTTAAAATACAGCCTCCAGATTCTGCTAAGGACTCATTCTTCAAGACTGTGTCAGGCTTCTGGAAAATGAAGAGCAGGGAAAAAAATAAGAGTTAACATAGTCTAGTGCCTTAACATTGGACCAAGAGTTGGCAGACCTGGGTTAGAATCCTGGCTTTGTTATTAAATTGGTGTTGTGATGTAGAACAAGTTAATTCATTTCTCTGGGCCTCTTTAAAATGGTGAGGCTGAACCAAGTGATTGCTAAATTCCCTTTCAGTCCCATAAAACTGCATGGAATGCAGATGGAATGACCATGGGAAGCCTAAAGTCCGTTTGTACACGGCCTCTGGTTTCACGAGTACTCCCACTGCATAACTACATTCTGCTTGAAGGGGCTGAAGTGTATACCTGTGAAGATTCTTTTTAGCACTAAATCTAAGATCCTATAATCAAATCTAATCCATTGGGGTTGGGGGGCAGGGAGAGAAAGCATTTATGTAATGACTATCACATGCCAGGTACTATGCTAAGTTTTTTACAAATATTATCTCATTTGATTCTTGTAACAACCCCATGCTATTATATCATCCCCATTTTACAGTTGAGGAAACTGAGGCAAACCGAGGCAAAAGGATTTGTCCAGGATGACAGGCATTTGTTAAGTGTTCCACAGGTGACTGAGCTGTTGAGTAGATGCAATTTCTCTTATCTTATTCTAACTCTTAGGAAATCCCATGCATATTTATTACATCACATTCAGTTTGGCATGTGCAGGGAAAAAATGGGATTAAAAAATCAGTCTGGTTATTAGAGTCCCATAGACTTGGAGTTAGGAAGATTAGTTCACATTCTGATGCTGACATTAAAGAGAAGTATGGTCATGAGCAGGGCTCTTAACCTTTCTGAGGCTCACTTATATAACTCTCAAAGGGCTATTGACAGAGTTGAAGATGGGTTCCATGAGCTTTGATCTATACTGGTAGAGAGAATTCTCCCATATGAGCTCAGACCTCTGACATCCACCACCTACCTCACAGGGCTGTTATATGGCTCAAATGAAATGATGTAAGCTAAATGACTCCCAGACTTTAAAGTGTATTATTTTCAGATAATATTAGTCAATGGAAAATCAGTTTCTATCTGTGGCATCTTCATTTTGCATTGGGATTTTCATGACATTGAAAGGGATTACACACATTTCCTGATTATAAACTTTGATAAACTTTCAGAGAGACCAGACAAAGAATTCCAGTTTTAAAATCAAACTTCAGGGGTAGCTAGGTGGTGCAGTGGGTAAAGCACTGGCCCTGGAGTCAGCATGATCTGAGTTCAAATCCGGCCTCAGACCAAACACTTGACATGTACTAGCTGTGTGACCATGGGCAAGTCATTTAACCTCAATTGCCTAGCCAAAAAAAAAAAAAATCAAACTTCAGTTTTGACATTTCAGGTTACATCTTTGTCTACCATTCTACTGTCTGGATCTGGGCTTTTCTCCTCCCAAAGAATTTCCATGTCACTTTTCAAAAGATTAGGTCCATGCTTCTACCTTTATTATACACATACATTGTCTCTAGGACCAAGACAAGTCCTGGGTAGGTATGGAAAGCCCATGCAGCATCTGCAAAGACTGACTTATTTTAAGGATTCTCCTGAATCAAATTTTGTGCAATTGTGTACAGACATCAGGCGGAAATTCTTCTTCCTTCTTCAACCCCAGACCCTCCACTGAACACAGACAGACATAGGGACAGACAGATTGCAGCAATTAGCAAAGCTAATGAAGAGTATGTTGATGTTCATCATTGTAACAACTAATTGGTAATGACTCTTTCATATTAATGATAACTAATTAAAATAAGGTACATCATGATGCCAAACTCAGTATTCTAGAGGTCACTTTCTCAGGTAGCTGATTTCTGTTCTTGGAAATGGTCTTTTGCATATTGGCTGCATTCCAGAGCCCATGGAATTCGTGATGATTGTACATAATTTCTTTTTTTTTCCTTTTTTTAAGCTTTTATTTAGTATTTTATTTTTCTCCAGTTACATGTAAAAAACAATTTTTCATATTTGTTTTTAAAACTTTGAGTTCCAAATTCTCTCCCTACCTCCCTCCCCACCCCACCCTCATTGAGAAGGCAAGCACTTCCATATAGGTTATGCAGTGCCTAATGTATTTTAGCTATTAATGGGCTATGTCTGGTTTACTTAGGACATGAATAGATGGCCTTTTTTTCCTTTACCTTTATAGTCTAAGTTTTCCCAACATAGATTCTCATAGAAAGATTACAGAGTATGAAGGGACTTCATGCATTCGACAATCTTGATCTTCATCATGGTTATGACAGTTTGAACAGGGCCCGCTGTTGGGAATTGATTCAATTCAATTTTCACCTACTTATTAATTACTAACTACGTAC